GGTCAGAGAGTTAATTATTATGTATAGATTCATCATCTCAGCGAAGGAATCATATTTTTAAACAAAAAAATATTATATATATATATATATATATATATATATATCATTTTAATACCTATACTTAGCGGTGAGACAAAAATCCAGATAATACAATATAAATAAGGAATATATTTGAACAAGTCGATATCAGGGAAAAAAAATTCAGTAAAAATAAAAAGACTAAAGACATTTGTGTTGCTCGAAAATAATCAGTCAGCACCGCAATGCTTAGTCAAAAGAAAAAACACCGACAGAGTAAAAGTAAAAACATAAAAGTACTCAATGCACTAAATAGAGCAAAATCTAAAAAAACAAGTGAGCCAGAACCTACCAACCAAGGTTTTCACTGAACAGATCTTTAGGTACTACTGAAGTACGATCCTGCAGATCCTTCCAGTGAAAACTTGGTAGGTAGGTTCTGGGTCACTAGGTTTATATATATATATATATATATATATATATATATATATATATATATATATATATAAAAGTGAACATTAAGTCAACACTCAGAAACAACCGGCTGTTTCATGCATGAAAGTGTTGAATTCAATGTTCACTTTTATATTTACATACGCTCTGACTCTGATATTGAGCACTTTATCCCATAAATATAGCACACATTAAAACTATATTTCTTCATATATATATATATATATATATATATATATATATATTATGCTGCCACACATTATACGTACATATATATATATATATATATATATATATATATATATATATATATATATATATATATATATATATATATATATATATAAAATATATTATGTGTGGCAGAAATACCTCCCACATAATAGAAAGATATTAGTGACAATGGTGTCTTCATCTAGCAAATGTCTTACCATTATGTGTGACTTATTTCTGAGAGTAAATAAAATTTGCACATGTGTTGTTTGTTTTTGATTTTGTCAACTGCACCGTATAGTAGGGTCAGTTGGGCACCATCCGTGAGAAAAAGAACATTATGACGAAATTCAATCCAACATATCTATAAAAATAATGTATAAAAAGAAAATATATACATATATATACATTAAAGTTAAGATTAGATTAAATTAGAAATTAATATAAAAATTAAATATAAGTTAAGAGTTGAATTTAAAATTAAGAATTAAAAATTTCAATTTCTAAAGTTAACCATATTATATTTTTAATTTTGTGCATACATGTTGTTTATTATTTATTTTGTTAACTGCACAGTATAATAGGGTCAGTTGGGCACCATCCGTGAGAAAAATAGCATTATGACGCAATTCGTTCCACCAGAAATTTGGTAACAGCATGCTGTACTGCTTGGTATTCACATCGGAAGCGCCAATACAATCATTTCAGAGTGTTTGGGTGTCAATCTGAGGACACTACAGAGGGTTCAGAAAGAGTTTGATGAGTCCAGTGATGATTATCAAGGTGTTTGGAGGGATCACTAGTGATGCCAAAGTTATGCCTCCATTTATCTTCCCACAGGGACTCAAAATCAACATGGAGGCTTACATCAAGTGCCTCGAGGAGATAGGGCTGCCCTGGACCAAGAGGGTGGCTACTAGAAGACCCTATTTCTGACAACAGGACTCTGCACCATGCCACACAATCAGGAAAACCCAGTCATGGCTATCAGACAATTCCTGCAACTTCATCACCCCTTACATCGGGCATAGTAACTTCCCAGACTTCAACCCGCTTGATTATTATGTGTGTCGCGAAGTTGAGCAAGAGACTAACAAAACTCCAGCGATGAACTGAAGGCAAGGATTATGGCAATATTCACCAACTTAAACTAGTAGACTGTCCCGAATAGTTCTGAAGTCGTCTGGATATCATGGTTGAAATCAATGGCCATCTTATTGAATAAATTTACTCATTAGCATTCCAAGATATTTTTTGTGTAATTTTGGTAAATATGTCTGTTAAAATGAGATGTCAGCATTATTTTCATTTTTGCGTAATTTTGACAACATTT